CCGTCTTCTTACTGGTAGTTTGAAGTTCCTATGGAAGCGATAAGGGAAACGTCTAGAATGAATAGAGTGCACTGTTAACTCAGACTGCAGCCTGGTCCTAGTTCAGATGAGTCATTAAGAGTGTACTCTGGTATACAACATAATTGAGATCGCTTTGGTGTTGTTTGCTGGAGTGTTCGGCGTGTCACCGCAGTACCGTGGTTATAGGAAAGGTCCACCGTGCTGGGCTAAGTCGGAATTTTCTACGAATGACAAGATCCTGTTCATGGCAGATGCTTAATTTTCGTCAGTCGACCAAAGTACATCCTGATACAGGTTGCAGGGTGTGTAAAGTATGTCCGCACGCCAACCTAGGAAAAAGCTAAAGACCCTAGAGCCTACGTTGATGTTAGGCCACCTACATTGCAGGTCTTTGTCTTGATGTAGTCCGCAGGCCTGTTTAGCTTTTTTCTTATATGAGTGCCCAGGTGCCCGGGCAGATCGAACCACGTGATGGCGTTGCCTAATCGCGTTTGGTGACGTAAGTCTTGGCAGGGTATGTGCAGCCTTCCAAGGCTGCGCCCACAGACCTTAATCACGACACACAGTTTGAAAGTTGGCACACGCGGGAAACACTTCACGTAATTTTGTTATGACTAATTCTTTTCTTCGAGCGATGGCTTCGAATTAGGTTCTCTATCAAATGCGCTGGAATACATACAATGCGACCGTCATTCGTTCATCATCACCACCTCAGTCTCAGCTTACTGCGATGATCCACCGGAGATGGTCAGCACTTGACCGTTGACCCAGCCACCGTCCGCTGATGCGAGGAAAGCGACGACCCTCGCAACATCCTCAGGTACGGCACACCTTCCAAGCGGGCAGTGGTTTGCCATGAGAGTCTCGATCTTCTCCGCTGGCCAGTCAGGCGAACCGCCGGGGATGTAATGCCAGGCGTTCTGTGTGAACATGTCCGACTTGATACCGCCTGGTGCAACACCGTTGACGGTGATGCCACGCTTTCCGAAGTCGGTCGCGAATGCCTTGATGAAACCGATGACGGCCATCTTGGAGGCGTTGTAGAGCGCGTGGTCCTTGACACCGAGAAGACCGGCAGCAATGGAGCTCATCAAGATGATGCGGCCGTTGTCCTCGATGTGCTTGTATGCGGTTTGGCCAACGAAGAATTGCGCTCTTGTGTTCAGGTTGAATACGTGGTCGTACTTCTCCTCGCTGATCTCCTCTGTCACGTCCCAGCTCTCGGTTCCTGAGTTGCTCATGACGATGTTGATCTTTCCGAATGCCTTCTTCGCCTCCTCAAATAATCTGTTGATCTCACTGACTTTGCTGACATCGGCCTTGATGGCTACGGCTTTGGCACCGTTGTTGAAGCCCTTGATGATTTCGCAGACCTCGTTCGCTGGGCCTTCGGATGAAACGTAGTTTACGATGACGGAGGCGCCGCGCTTGCCGAGCTCGATAGCACAACCCCTTCCAATACCGCGACCGGCACCGGTGATGAGAGCGACTTGTCCCTCGAGGGAGGCGGTGGGAACGTTGATGACCATTTTGATAATGTGTTGGTGTCTAGATGATTATGGGACGGTGGATGATGGAATATAGAGCTTCAAGATAGGGAGCTTGAAGATGCTGAAGTGGTGGGTGAAGATGGATTGGGTATACTGATTACCTTTCTCATCTTGCGCTGCCTCTTTATAAACATCTTGGATGTTCAGTCTCAGCATTGAAACAAATGGTGTTCACGGTATGCGGGCACGGGCGGGGATCCGAAGAAACGAACACCGAAAATAGCTGCTTCAGGGACCTGCGGCTCTACACCTTCGCGCCCGAAGCTCTGGTCGTTTTAGCTACACACAGCTAAACCTGCCGGTAGACTCTGCACTCCCGTTTCGAAATGTCGTGGATGAAGTGCCGGCTGTCGTGCGGACGTCGGAAGGGGGAGGGGCCATGGTTAACCCCCGAATGAGGGTGTTCAGATCTGCCATGGAGATGCGAGACGAAGTCCGGCGTCGCAAGCAATTCTATTCATACCATCGGTCTTGTTCATAAGCGTTTACACTGTTATCAGGTGCGACGTCGAAGTTCGAGTTTCTTCGCAGCTAAGCTCTGATCGCCGGCACGATGCAGGGCGCATCAGCGGATCTACCCATGGCGCAGGTACCACTGCCAGTTTGACGGACTTTGCCATTGCCCTGCAGCGTTCGCGGACGACGTTTGCAATCGTTCTGTCGAAGAAACGGCCATGCGAAAACAAATATGAAAGCGCAGAGGTGTTGACGCGAAGGATGAGGCGGTGACTGCCTGCCACGGGCTTCGGACTTATTGGTAGCGCACGTCACTGTCTGCCCCTCTGCATCTCCATCCCCAATCCACAACACAGCATCGCCACAACCCGCTGCACTGTCCACATAAGCAATCATGCATATTCTTGTAAGACTGTTGTATCTTACTAAGCCAATGGCAAGTACTGATCAATGTAGGTCACCAACGACGATGGCCCGCCATCAGACCAGTCCTCACCATACGTACATTCGCTGGTGTCAACACTGCAGAAGCATGGACACACCGTTTCAGTCGTTCTCCCGCATACGCAGAGGTCATGGATAGGCAAGGCACATCTTGTGGGCAAGTCGGTATGACACACCACTTTTACTGCGCCGCTCGCCATACTCACTGCCACAGATACAACCGACGTACTATCGCCCTGCGCCCCTCCAAACCAACGCCGAAGGACGTCTCACGAATCATGGCACAACCCATAACTCGCCTCTACCGCCCTCATCCAACGAAGAAGAGTGGGTGCTCGTCGATTCCACACCCGCTTCCTGCGTACAGATCGGTCTCTACCACTACTTCTCCGACCGCGGCCCGATCGATCTCGTAGTCAGCGGCCCGAACTACGGTCGCAACAGCACCGCCATCTTCTCTCTATCATCGGGCACAATAGGCGGCGCGATGGAGGCTGCAGTATGCGGCATGAAGTCGATCGCCCTCTCGTACGCGTTCTTCGACCGCAACCACGACGCCAAGATCATCAGCGACGCCAGCGAGCTCAGCGCAAAACTCATACAACACCTATGGGACAACTGGAACACAAACACACACCTCTATACCGTCAACGTACCGTTGGTAGAGAACGTGGGAGAGCGCAAGATCCTCTGGACAAACATGCTGCAGAACTCGTGGAAGAGCGGAAGCTGTTTCCAGGTCGTTGAAGTACCTTCCGAAGCAGACGACACACCCTCGGACATCGAAGGCCAGATCCGCAAGCAAGAGGAGAAGTTTGGCAAGAAGGAGCTGAAGGCGAACTCGGAGATACAGGGCGGCGCGTCTGGCACGGACAGTGGACGAGAGACGCCCTCGGGCCAGGCGCATATGCGGTATACACACAAGCACTTCAAGTGGGCGCCGACGTTCAAGGACGTGTATGAGAGTGTTGAGGCTAGTGAGCCGGGCAATGACGGATGGGCAGTCGCGCAGGGATACACGAGTGTGACTCCGTTACGAGCGAACTTCATGCATGTGAATGGGTTCGAGGGAGAGATCAAGCTGGGTGGTGGCTCATCGTAGACTTGGTTCCTGATAATACAGTCAATCGAAAGTGGGTATGTTAGTGTCAACACATAGGCACAGGCAGCTCAGACTCTGGACTCACCCCTCTGATTCACAGCTACTAGTCCGCAATCCAGTCATATCATCAGCACAGTCCGTGCCGACTTTTCGATAAAACGAAATGCAGCATCACTCTTCACTCATACGAGTACCTCAGAAAGACATCCTTTTGAACAACCAACGCTCTCAGTAACCGTGCGACACTCGCCTATACAATATGACGAATGAGCCACAGAAAAGTCGATTTGACGCCCAAGTGTCTTCGGCTTTTACGAACTATGACGAGGTTGACGACATCAAAGGCGCCCGGGACTTTGCAAAACGTCACATGGACAACTTCACTGAGATCTTGGGCCGTTTCGATAAGACCGATGGGCTGGCATACACTCATCTCCAGACAGAGTACGATTGTTTGAAAATATGGGGAATAGACACTGGGTTGTATCAATACGAGAGAAATAAGCCAAAGCGCGACTTCCGTAACCTTTCTTCCGTTGCAAAATCATCGATTATTGGCTCCCTCGAAGACATGGAAGTCCAAATGTACCTCATGGACATAACCGTCCCCAATAAGAAGCAGTCTTCTGCAAAAAGACTCCATAAATTCCTACCCAGGCCGTTTCTGGGCTTGTGGGTCGATGGACTGAGGTGCATCATCGTTACTCTGGAACTATCAGTCGATCTGGAAGATGAATCGAACGCCAAAAGAGGCGATACGAGTCCTAATCTTAAGACGCTTTTCCGACGCTGTGCAGCCGGATACACGACAGTTTTCAAGCGTATCAACGAAGGAAGCTCGAGTCTGGAGGACAAGCTACCCACCGGACACATGAAAGGCCCGCGTAACAGCTTCATCAGATGGGGCCGTGAAACCGGAGTTCTTCTTGATGGCAAGAGCTCTCTGGAGACCAAATTCGTCGACTCGGACAAGAGCGAGAGCAGGAGTCAAATCGTCAACAGCCTGTTGAGCATCGAGTCGGCCTTGGGAGCGATGTCTGGGTTACTACCGGAGAAGCGTGTTTCGGGAAAGGATCTTCCGGCAGCAGATGCAGACGAGAATTCGAATTCGAACCTTAGCCTTACCGAACGGGCGAAAGGCCTGACAGAGCAAATAATGGTACTCCAACGATGTAACGAATCTCTGGCGAAAGCCGCAAAAGCTCTTGTTGATTATTCGATCGGATCGAACGGCTCTAACGCGGGGGCTGTAGATAATACTGCAACAGATACTTGACGATGAAAGAAGGGTGTGGCATCGATGAGAGAATGACCAGCAGCGGAAGCGGTGGGCATACAAGAGAGCCTTTATCTAATGAATCATTGCTGCTGGTATATGATATTCATGTAAACGGGTTTGACGGAGAAACTGAGTCGAATTGGTCACCATGAGGTTAGATATAACAAGATCTGTGATTCATTCATAGAAGAGCCTACGGTGCGAGATTTTTAGAGTCACGCTTATGATTCATGACGACTGCAGATGAGTACAGACTGGTCATACATACTTACTGCACAGTCATTGTAGGTATTTAAGAGGATGAATAGCCGCATAGACTTTCCGCTCTCACCAATACTTCCGAAAGACATCTTTCTACAATGGCTCGCTTTCCAAAACCACATCGAATCAGCCCGTACAATAAAGCAGATCATCACGATGAGTACCAATACGAAGCTAGGAAGGGAATTCAGTCAACGCGCCCAACGAAAAAGACAAAGATTCCGAAGAACAGGCCCGAGCCGACCTTGAGCGAGATGTTCGGTCAGCTAGCTGCGGTCAACAAGAAGCTTGAAGATTGGATCGAATCGACCAAAGCATCGAGCACTCAAGCGGGCGATGCGAATCTCAGTACCATGACGATGTATAAGCGCTGCCTAGCCGCCTATGGGAAGGTGTGGAGCAATATCGACGACCTGGATAAGCCGATAAATAGCGAACCGGCACTCGAAGCTACTGGACGCCTGTGTATGGATCTAATCACATGGGCGAAACTAGCCGGAGTGTATTTAGAAGGGAAACATTCTCTCGACTACACAATCCGCGCAAGTCCCAAATTGAGAAACCAGGTCTTAAAGCATACCTTAAAGCCACTCATTAACATCGAAGCTGCGCTCAAAATGATGACCGAGATCGCGCAAGAAAAGGCCGCCCCACGAGAACAGCCGGTATCAGGATCAGCCCATGTCCCTACAACAGAAGACGGTCCTTTAAGCTACCAAAATTCACAGATAATAAGGTTCGAACAAGCTCTCGGCTATGTTACCTACAACCAGGGTCTTCTTGTGTTTTAGATGACGCGCAGAAATGGTCCGCCGAACCAGGGGCCTCCTGAAGCCTTCACGCATCCAACTGGAAGCGATCATTGACCAGCCTAAAAATATTGCAAATGGGCCGAAGAAACTAGCCCTCATACAAGACATACGGGCTTTACAACTAAGCATCTAGATGATCAAACAGTTGAGCGAAGCGGCTCTCGTTTGGTCATGACGCAAGGAGATGCAACAGGTTATCGGGGATGGAAGACATGGCCCTGGAAGCTACATCAAATGTTCCCCAACCGCTGAATTAGTGGAGCTATCCTGGGCTCCATATTGATCGCTCTATGCGACGGAAATGCGCTACGGACGGACTTGAGCTATCTGGCGGGCTCGATGAAGATGGAGCTGGGTCGGAGTTCATCGTAGACTCATACGTCGGATGTATGCCAAGATGTCAGTACGTCTGCGTTGGGTTAGTGTCCTAGGGAAGGAGTAGGAGCGTAGGATAGCAGGCGCGTATTTAGGCAGGAACTTCACAAGACCTACCTCTTGGTGTGTACCCCTCCACAAGATGAGCATTGCGCAAGGGATGCGTACACCCGCACTGAAGCTGCACCTCTTTAGCTCCGCTCATAAGTTGTCAGGAAAAATTAAAGGCACCGTGAGCTCGCTGAAATTGAGTTAAGTTTAGGTATGGAGTGTTCGAGCCTTCCGTGTTGCACATGAGATCATAACTTTGACATTCAATTGCAGCAGCGCTCCAAGCTAGCTAAAGCAACCGAAGCATCTTGGGTAAAGCCAATATCGCGAAACTGCAGGTGTCCGGCGTAGGCATATTATAAATACAAAGGTGCAGATATCTCGGCTCCCATCCCATTAATAGTTCTGACGTGGAACCCCGCGCTGCTACTTCCTATTTGGGTAAGCACTTCCCCATGTGTATATCCGTTAGTATACCCCACTCCTTCCAAGGTTACCAACAAACTCAACCCCGCCCCCCACCGTACCAAACTTCGACGGTTACTCCCGTTGCGACTAATCCGATGGGGCGTTTCAGACATCTGCTGTCTCGTTTGTTCTGCGGGATCTTCCACATCAAACCCAAATACTCAAAGTTACCTCGTCCGGATCCTACAATGGCGATAAAAGTCCACGAATACAAACTTCCTCCTACAGCCCTCATCCCTAACTCACCATACCCGCTGCTCCACTATCCCGGTCTTCTCTATGATATGGTGACCTCACCGAACTTCAAAACAAGAGAGATTCTCGACCTTTATGCATCGAATGGCTGGCAAACACAATGGATAGCGCAGTACGGAATGGATATACAATCGCACTACCACTCCACTACCCACGAAGCCATGACCGTTATCTCAGGCGAAGGCGCATGGATCCGTTTCGGCGTCGCTGACTCCCCGTCTTGGTCGCAGGGGAAATACGAACCGGGTGACAGAGGAGATGGAGAGGTTGGTGGCGTGGATATCAAAGCGGAACTGGGCGATGTCTTCATCATCCCAGCGGGGGTTAGCCACAAAACCTTTTTGCCGCGACCGCGGAACGAGGAATTGGCGTTTCACCAACCGAAGGATGTAGAGGAGGGGAGGGCGGCGGAGGTCGATGAGGAGAAGGAGGCGGAGAGAAGGAGGTTTTTTGAGAGTGTGGATGTCAGCGGCGGGAAGTTTATGATGATGGGTGCGTATCCTTACGGCGGAGTTTGGGACTTCGCTGTTGGGGGTGAGCATGACGGAAAAGAGGGGGAAGTATGGAAAGTGGGCATGCCGGAGAAGGATCCGGTGTTGGGAGATAGCGATGAGGGGTTGAGGGGGCTGTGGGAGGGTGTGGAGGAGGCTGGTGGTAGGGTGGTGATGGGGTTGAGAGAGTTGGGGTTTGGAGTTTGAGGTGTGATTGAGTGTTGGGTAACGACCGAAACGATCTCCTACGCAGTCCTTCTCATTTTCACGAAGACAGCTTCCTCCTCCATTCCCGTAGTCTCGATACCAAGTTCATCGCATTGCTGTTACGCTCTATCCACGCGCGTTTCTTTGGAGTAGAGCATGAGCGGTAGTGCCAAATCCATCTCCAGCAACGAAATGAGGTGCGACTCGTCTACCACTATATCCAAATACGCCATATCTTTGCAACAGGTAGGTTTGCGAACATGTGGTCGTGAAGTTCTCCGCCGCACGATCATTCCGAGACGGGTCCGACATCCCCGAAATCGGCGCTAGCCTCCACTCCCGCCCGCGCGCCCTACGAGTGATCCATCAACCTTTGTGCTATATAACAAATGGTAATGCCCCTAACTTTCACAGTTTCGCGGTTCTTCGCGATCGAAACAGTCTGTTCAATGAGCTTACCTCTGGTTAACGCGACGTTGCCAAAGCCACTTAGGTAGGCACGATGCTGTCTCTCCCACGCCCCTTCCAAACACCCAAGCACAAGCCGGCACCTGATTAGCGCAATACAGCAAGAGGAGGTTCACAACACCATGACAACTCAGAACCCCCTGCAGACCACTCTCGCTTCTATGTAGAAGACGTTCACAAGGAGCGACGCTCTGCCAAAACCACCACCATGCCGCAGATAACCGCCGAATCGCGATCATAGCCAAGCGACCCGAATCCCTATCATCATTACCAACGCCAACACCTTCTCATTCAATCATGAGAGGTCATACCAACACATACAATCGTGGGAGCGACTGTACGCCCGACCCAGATCACTGGGCATCCAAGCCGCCAAGGCCAAGTGAGTGCCGCATAGCCGGACGCCCTCTGACTGATAGCAATCACTCGGCGTAACCTTACTCCCAGCTGGCTGACCGGAAACCTGTCCATGTAGGTGAGGAAGTTCAACGGGAGTATTTGAGCCAGGTGGGCCATTGTTCATCGGACGTGTGTCGCCAAAAGACACCTGAACGACATAAGAATTACTGATGTAGGTGCGTCCGATGGGTCACGTGTGTAACCACAAACGCACGCCGAGGCCATCGTGCTTAGGCACCAAGACGTATCGGACCCCTCGTGGCTGACGGCCAACTCTGGTCCCACTCGCAATCCATAGTCGGATTCCGAGCATTACCCCAGGTCTGGATGCGTCGAGCTCTGTCGCGTGCGCAAGCTTTACCGCGCGCCAAGATCAACACACTAGAACCTAAGACCGACTGGACTGACCAGACGATATCTCATTCCCCCCGTGGCTGACGCGCCAACACAGGTTCAGCCCCATGTCCGAGATACATGTACGCCTGGTACGGGTTCGGCAGTGGTGTTGAGCGCTCAGGATAGAGCGAACCAACCAATGTAGAGCTGCTGATCACCCAAGACCCGTTGTACCCGAGTAGTAGGGTACGCCCAAGCTAGCTGAGCCTCTGCGCAGGATCTGGGGAAGCCTTGGATGCGAGCGCCACACTACTAGTGCTGTTTGTAGAAGGAAGGTGGGCGATTGCTTGGGCTGGGCACATGCTTGGAGAGATAGGATATGTGGCACGACAGTCAGATTGTGAGACTCTATATACCGGGATCTCACTGCGCAAATCTTACGGTTCGACTTTCACGTTCGTCTCCGCAACTCGCCTTTACACGGTCGTGAATTGACCCCGTCACTCTGTCGGGAGCGACAAACTCCTTTTCTCTCGTTCTCTACCTACTACACCCAATCGTCAAGATGGCTGCAATCAAGAATATCCTCATGAAGCTCTCGCCAGCGGCGAAGAAGAGCGAAGATGGACGCGATATGTTCTCGAACCGTATCCAATTCGTCCTCTGCGCCATGGGTGGTGCAGTTGGTCTTGGTAACCTGCTGCGCTTCCCATCGGTCGTGTACAACAACTACGGTCTCCAATTCTTCATCCCTTACTTCATCGCCCTCTTCTTCGTCGCCTTGCCTGTATTGGTCCTCGAGATCGCACTCGGTAGCGTTTACCGTGGTGGCCCAGTGCTGGCGTGGCACAGCAACAACAAGCGCGCCAAGGGTATTGGTCTAGCGGTCGTCTTCAACGGCGTAGGTGGAATTGACTCGCAATACTGAGAAACATATGCTGACTTCGCAACTCCATAGTATGTCGTGGTTACCTACTACGTGCCACTTCTAGCATGGATCATGAAGTACTTCTCCCGCAGTTTCCAAAGCCCTCTGCCATGGAAAGGCCAGGATCTCGAGGAATACTTCGCCAACGTCATCGTTGCCAACACGGCCGCAGCTTCCACAGGTAGTCTCAACCCCGACGGTAGCGTCGCTTCGTACACTCAATACGTTGGGACTGGTATGCTGGGGGAAACCGCAGGCTGGGCCATCTTCACTTGGTTCGTCACATGGCTGTGCGTCTTCAGGGGTGTTGGTATGACTGGACGTGTCATCTACGTTACTATGGGTCTTCCGCTCGTTCTGATCATCATTCTCATCGGCCGTGGAGTCTCGCTACCTAATGCGGGAGAGGGGATTAAGCTTTACTTCGCGACATGGCGCACCAGCGCCCTCGAAAGCCCTCAGATCTGGCAAGCGGCTTTTGGTCAGATCTTCTTCTCTATCGGTGTTGGTTTTGGGTACGTTCGATGGTCTATCTCAGAAAAGAAGTATATTGACGTGTCTCTAGATACTTCACATCGTGGGCATCTTACTGCTCTTCGCACTCCAATGCTGTACAAGATGCTCTTATCATTGGTTTCAGCAACTCCGCCGTTGAGATTATCGCAGCTTTCTCGGTCTTCGGTGTTGTCGGCTATCTGGGCATTGATCCCTCGAGTGGTACACAGCTCGGTACCTTCGTGACAGGATTCATCACCTACCCCGAGGCTCTTGCTCAGATGCCAGGCGCACCATTCTTCTCCGTTGTCTTTTGTGAGTTTTGGAACCTTCTCTCCCAAATGAGAAAACCTTGCTAATCTTTCCTCATAGTCTTCACCCTCTTCCTCCTCGGTCTGACATCCGCCTTCTCCCTCCTCGAAGTCATGACAACACTCATCATGGACACGAACTGGGGCCGCAAACTTCCTCGCTGGGCCGTCTGCACCATTGTCACCGTCATCTCCGCACTCATCTCCCTCATCTACTGCACCGAGTTCGGACTGCAGGCTCTCGATGCAGTCGACACGTACGTCAACGATGTCGCCCTCTTCTTCACAGTCTGGTGCGAGACCTTTGCCGCAACATCCCTCTACCGCTGCCGCGATGTCGCCCACCAAGTCGGCTGGCCCGGGTACCTCATCTTCACTATCGGTTTCGCCGTCGCTCAGGGTCTCGGCATTCGCGTCGCCTACGGATCAACCCCCGGAACCGGTGCTGGTGTTGGTTTCGCCTTCTTCATCGTCAGCTCTTTGATTGCGCTCTTCGCTGCCAGGACACCCGCTATTCCTGGGCCCCGCTTCTTCGGTAACAACAAGTTCCTGAGCCGTTTCTGGTGGGTCGCTTTCTACCCTGGACACCAGCTCACACGGGATATGAATGTGACTATTGGCGTGGGAAAGAACTGGAACATTCCCTTTTACTGGGCTGTTATCATGAAGGTATGTTGACATCAACCCTGACATTCCAGTACATTGCTGATTGTTTTCCCTCACAGTACATCTCCGGCCCCATCCTTGCCATCGTCCTCTCCTTCGCCTACCCCAAGTTCACACAACAACACATGTTCGACCCAATCATGATCTACGGCTTCAGCATCGTGCACCTCGTGCTGCCCACCATCGTCCTAGGTCTACTGATGCCATCATGGTTCAACTGGATTATCCCATCTGAAAAGGTTCTTCTCGGTGACAAGCCAGTTGCGCCTTTGGAGACGATTGACAACACGAACGCCATTATGAGGATAGGCAGTGAGGAGACTGGATCAGCGCCGCCGTACGAGGAGCCGAAGATGATGGAGACGAAGTCGACGAAGGTTTGAGCGGACTTTGTTGGCACTTGGTCGCACGTGTTTCCTCTTGTAATGAAAGAGGGGGTTGTAACTGGTGATTAGACACGCTCGCTCATATAGTTGTAATTCGGACTAGCGATATACCAATCCACATGTCCACACTTCTTCACGTCCCACATTTCCTTTCGCAACAAGCTCCCTGCTACACATCCTACCTCGGACTAGCCCTAACCAACCACGCCCTAATCCCCTCCGTATGCCTCCTGGGAAAACCCTCCCACCTCCCCTCATCATACGTCTTATCCATCTCCCTCAGAATCCCCTGCGCCTTCCTCAACTGCAGTCTCTTCGCCCCCGCCCAAGGCGTCTTATCGATAAACGCATCCGCCTCCCCCACCAACTCCATCCGCTTATCCCTTACCTCCTTGCCATCTTCCTTCTCCGCATCACACAACTTACACTGACACCTGAAACCCCATGTCCGCTCCAAGAACCCTTGTCTGGTCTCGTAATCAAGCGACGCGTCGTATGGATGGAAAATCTCTTCACCGGCTTTGATGGGCTGGGTCGCCCGGATGATTATCATATCGCCTGCGAACTCTTTCGTTGTGTTGGACAGACAGGAATGGTTGATGTAAGCCGCGTGGCGCCAAAGTCCTGTGCTAGCGTTCCTAGCACTTTCCTCGCCGAATTGACTACCAGGCCCGAAACCGTTCCGCGACATGATGTCGTGGACGCGGAAGACGTCTACGATAGCACCGTCTTCGTTGGAGAAGATTTGTGGGCCCTCGCCTTGGTAGTCGCCGAAGAGGTCCATCAGCTTTTCTGTTTGAGAAGGTTGGTTCAGACATTTCTGTACAAGTGCTTTTGCGAGGCCGACGGGCGCGACACGGATCCGGTCGTCGCGTGTGTCGTAGGTCATGGCTGTTAGTGTGTCTTCTTCGTGGCCCCAGACTACGCAGAAGGCTTTTTCGCACATTACGATGTCTCCGGTGGTGAGGTCGCGTGTTGTGTATAGGCCGCGGCCTTTTCCGGGACTGTCTTTGATGAGCGTGTTTTTGGTGAAGTTACCGGCGTCGACTCGGGAGCGGGCTTTGGAGAGATTGGTGCGGATCTTCATTAGGTCGTAGCCTCCTGTTTCTTCTTCGCGGAGACGGGCTTCGATTTTCTTTAGCTGGAGTTTGGCGTCTTTGTCGTCGGGGGTCAGCTTTTGTTGCTCCTGGAAGAATTGTTTGGCTTCTTGCCAGTGGCTTTGGGCGTATGCGGCTGAGCCGGCGCGGAAGTAGGCTTTACTATCTAGCTCTTTGGACTTTTGATCTTCGCGCCCGGTTAGTGAGGCGCGGGCGTCTGTCTTTACTTCATCTAGTCGGCCTAGCAGCAAGTTCACGTATGCGCGATTCCTGGAGATATCGCGGGCTAGATCGGGGTTCGATTCTGCTAAGATGTCTTGCTTTGCGATCGCTAGACCTGCTGTGTATTTCTCGTGGGCCAGTGGGAGATCTTGCTTCTTGAGTGCGTTGTTGCCTTGAGTTTTGAATCTCGTGGCTGCCTTTTCCGCTGCTGCTGCATCCTCGAAGCTCTTTGCGCCTTCTTCATGGCAGATGACCAAGTCTGAAGGATGGTCGATGCGCAGTGTAGGCTCGCCCTGTTCAGTGAGGGTGAAGTATGGCTCCTTGATGATGAAAAGCTTGGTCGACTCCAGTACATCCTCGCTATATCGTGACTTGTGAAGCAGTATTTCCAAACGCTCTGCGTCAGTTCCATCTTCATCCTGAACCATAGTCCATGACCTCGCTACGAGAGTCACTACAGGGCTTTCTCGCTTGACTACCAGCTTGCGACCTCGGTGATGCGTCTCCATCTTAAGGTCTGACATCTTCATCGGTTCCAGATCTGACAGCGAAGTCGTGCATGGCGGATACGGTCGGCCTACTCCGATGACTGGAATAGTAGTTGATGTTTTCCCTTGGGTCTGCAGCATATCGGGGTCAGGCGCACCTCCCATATCTGCCATCAAGGCTGCACCAGTGGCAGCCTGGTGAGCAGCCAACTTGTCTCTTGGTGCCTTTGCATTGCCGCTTTGCTCTTCGCACTTTTTGAACCGGTCTTTGATGGTGTTCTGGATGCGTTCCGCCTCTTTCTCTGTGAGGTAGATTGTGTTATCTTCTCGTTGACTGTTCGCCATCTTTCTGCCCTGTGTCGTCGAGCCCCGCCCGGCTTCTGGAGATTGGTTACACAGCGTTGCTGGGGTCCCTCTTCGCCCACCAAAATTTCGACCCTTTCCGGATGACCTCGTTGACAGTCGCGGACTGTCAGAAAATTGCGCAACGGGCTGGCAGAAAGACTAGAAAGGGAAGATGAGACGAAGGTACGCGACGCGGCGCCCAGAGTTAAAGATGACAAAATTAATTTCTGGTTGAGTCAGATTCTTCCTCACTTGAAGTTTGACACCACACGCGCAGGCGCGTTCCGAGGGGTCGAAGCTAGCTGAAATTTGTTATCGATAAATGCGGGGCTAACCGCGACACCTTGGAAAGCGGAACTTGAAGCCGCCCTTGAAGTTTACCAACGCCGAAACAATGACCGTGCCAAAGAAGGGCTTCATGATCTACTTCCACACACTTGAACTCTCTGCCCCCGCCTCCTTCCCCTTCTGATAAGTCTCACTCAGACTGTTGTATAGACTCTTGACCCTATCGATCTCACCCAGTAGCCGCTTCCTCTCGCTCTCATCTTCGACCTCCCTAACGACATCGGCAAAGCTCTTCGCGGTAAAGAACTTGTTTTTACGATTGTAAAGCTGCCTGCTTTGTACCTGCTCTTCACTCTCGCCCTCCCCTGGGACCCGAAACACCTCTTGCAAAATGTCGATATCGTAAGGGATGCCGAAGAGATCCCGGCTATCTTCGTACGTGAACAGATAATAGAACTCGTTGAAACCAGCCCATGTGATGCCGCTCAGACACAGCGAACATGGCTCATGGGTAGCGAGGAAGATGCAGTCTTTGGCTGGATGAGGTCGCGTTGATGAGTCAGGAAAGTCGACTGTGCAGAATTGTTGGATGCAGTTGATTTCGCCGTGCAAGAGGGGTGAGATGCGTTCGTTGTTCGTAGCGAGAGTGTATGGTGTGAGGTCTTTGCGAGCGATAATGGCAGCCCCGAAGAGTTTAGAGCCGCTCGAGACGCCTTTCTGCGTCAGAGGTATGATGCTTTTTTCGATGATAGATAGCAGGCTTGAGACGAGGTCCTCGGGCGGCGATATTGCTGAAGTTGTGTGGGAAGACATCTCGTAAACGCTGAGTCGAATGAACGAAGATCGAATTCATAAAGTTCGCGAAGTCAGCCTTTGGGTTATATGGCTGTCAATTTAGACTGCAGGTCATGCATCCGCTTATCGTTCAATAAGTCCCTTGATGGCGTTACTCTCGATCTACATGTCGGGGGCTACCGGTGGCGCACGACGCGGGGCTTCCCGATAGACCTACAGTGGGGCGCTGCCGTCCGCAGGCGTAGACTCATGGCTCTTTTCATTTGTGGTTCTACACGGTCTCTTCGTACGAAGGCTCGCACCAGAAATCGTGATTGCGCGCAATGAACATGCTGCACAAGGTCCGTGGTTAATCGATCACAAGTGCGTTAACACTCGATGTGCAGCTCTTTTGGTCAACGAATCTGAATCACCTCTGGCTGCAATCCACCCGACAGTAGATCATCGAGTGGGTGAGGAATGCCTTCCATCTTCTTCCTGTTCACAGCTGCCATGTATGAGCCCCCAACGATACGATAAAAGTCATCCTGTGGACGCAAGATCATAGGACAATCGGTGTTCCACAATAGGGCGACATGATCCCCAGGCTGAGCGGCGGCCGGACACATTCCAACGTAGCCCTGCTGGGTGATGTAAAACCTCTTGAAATAGCCATGTTCGCCTTTTTCTTTATCTAGCAGGGCTGGGTTTCCTACAGATGCTATCTCGCTCGTCTCTAGTAGCAGCTGCGCTATGGACCTCAGCATGGCATACTCTCCGTATTTTGCATATTTCGCTATCGCTGCCGGAGATCTTTCCCACGGGTGTTGAGAAATCGTGTAGAAAGCACTGACGTGGTTTTCGGAAGTCATGTAGTAGGTAGTGGTCTCACATAAGTCTGTCATGACGGCCTTGTATCCAGGGTCCGCTTCTCTAGGCCTGATATGCTCTTCCCAGAAGCTTTCCAGAATGGTCCCCGGAAGTCTGAACTGCACAAACTCCATGGTGTCCGAGAGAGCCACAATTGTGTCTAAAGTAGCACTTAGCACGTTGAGAGTGTCAATAGCGAGCGGGTCGAGGTATGTTCGTAATATAGACAGCAGCTCGGAATCGCATCCCGTAAACGAGATGCCACTCTCTACGGAAAGACCGGCGAACTTGCAAATTTCGTGCAGTCTGTGACAGAATGGAAAATTATTGACGAGAGGCAGGTCCCAATGTGGTGACCACGATGGCATGTCGCCTGGCTGCCACTCTTCTAGCTGTTCCCCATGTTGAACTGCTAAGAAGATGTCTTCCGTCAAACCTCGCTGCAAGGCCCGAATAGCAAATTGCCGATAGACGTGCTCTACAGGTAAAGTATAGTCCGGTATGGTAGCTTCAGCTAGCGAATGTCCAGCGGGGTCTGCTGCTGCCCAACGGTCATCACCGCATTCTAGTCCCAAGATTGCGAAGATCCGATCGCGACTGTCTGAGCATCCAAATGCCCTGGCTGTATGGATAGTTCCCATAAAACTCGTCGCGTAGCAGCGTTGATCCTTAATTGCAGACAATCGGGATATGGGTTCGAGCAGCGTAGACTTGTATGGCGTAAAGCGCCACATCACGTCTGGCTTCTGGAGGTTGCTGATAGCCAGGTTGATATGTGTCCATTGAATTTCCTCCGCGCCCCACAAGAAGAGTAAATCCTTTGCAAGTGCGAATTCCTGTATGATCCAAACACGCCCCCACCATGGACGCTCACTGAAGGCGCGAAGGAAGTACCACTCCCCAGGAAATCTGTTCATGCTTTTCAATGTAGTCTCGAGCTCTTCGAGCTCCATGTCACGCTGGCCCAGCTTAAGACAGAAATCGAATGCGTTGCGGGCCTCGCCACGAAGATCAGGACCTAGCCATACGAGGACTCGGTGCGCATTCCGGTAGACACGTTGCATGAGCCGTACCTGATGTGACTTCTCGACATCGTCGGTTTGATTGATACACAGTCCGTCTATCCATACTGTTCGATTCCGTTCCGGTAACCGGATGCGTAGGAGAGCCTGGTGCAGACTAGAAGTCACTGCGACGACCTTGAAATCGCATGTGATCGAAGATGACACATCTGAGTCTCCCCAGACGTACGAAACGGCCTCATACTCTGGGTTGCTGGCGAGATCGCGATGCTCCAGGCTGCATGTGAGAGGATCCCTTTCGGGGGCAGGATGGATGTGCAAAACCCGAATTGTTGTCGCTGACATCAGCCGCTTGTACATGGCGTGGAGAGACTGTTGGTCTTAGCGGACTAGTGAGAGTGGATTGGAGCACGATGTAGAAGATGAAGGTCTTCTAGCAAGGCAGCCGCGCGGATAGGATCGGCAGAGCTGGAAGACAAATGATGGAACAATAATGTGCCGAACAAATTGTGGCCTTGCATAACTAGCTGCATAAGGTTGGCTAGACGCCATTGGACAAAGGGCGAAGAGGCGCATGCTGAACTCGGGTTGGATGTGTAGGTGCAAGCAACCTGCCAGAGTGTTAAGGGGATGTCCGTGCACGGACGCCAGTGACTCACGTGAACAGGCGCAGGACACGCTCGACGCGTCGTGCATTCTGACATGCTTCACCACCTCAAAAGATATCGACCACCCATGCACTGTCAAAAGAGAAGTAGTCTAATTGAATGGGTATTTGATTCATTACACGATTATCACTACAACGGCCTCACAAGTCCACAAACTCGCCCTTGAGCAGAGGATCGTCGCGCACCTGCTGCAAGTAGCTCTCCACCTTGGCCGTCAACGCAGGCACATCGAATCCGAAATACTTATAAGCAGCTTTGCCCGGCAAACTGTGGCCGAAGCGCTTCATGCAGCAAGCCGCGTCAGCATACCTCTCCCACCCGTTGGGCGCGAACGGCTCGATGACAACAGCCGGAATGCCCTGATGCCTTCGCAGCGTGTCCCGCTTGTATTGTGTGGGTTGCGCATCAAACAATCGCTGACATGGGAAGCTCACGACTCGCGCCTTGATCTTCTTCGCCTTCAGCTCCTTCGCCGTATCAACAGCATGATGCAGCTCCGCACCGACACCGATAAGCGTCACGTCCGCTTCCTCGACCTCTTCGATCACGTATGCGCCCTTCGCAACCAAGTCCCGATTCGTTTGCGGTAGTTGAGGAAGGGTATGCCGAGACGTCGAGATGATGCTCGGTGTATTCTTCGCCTCGATCGCTGTGATCCACGCGCCTGCCGTCTCCTCGCTATCAGCCGGTCGAATGTACAATATATTGGGCATAGCGCGGTAGAGATTGGCAAGTTCGATCGGCTGATGGGTTGGGCCATCTTCGCCCATTCCAATGCTGTCGTGTGTGGCCGCATGTACGACCTGAAGGCGTTGCAGCGCACCCATGCGAACAGCCGGGGCTGCATAAAGGTAGAACATGAAGAAAGAAGATGTAACGGGGATAAAAGTGTTTGGTGCGTATGCTGCCAAACCGTTGGAGATGGCGGCCATGGCATGCTCTCGCACACCATAGTGGATATAGCGTCCGCTGTAGTTGCCGAGAATGCCGCATGTGGTCTTCAAGTCGGGCTACGGAGGGTTAGCAACATCGCATTGGGCTGGGTGATGGCATGACTTACATTTTGGAAGTCGACTTTGCCTTTCCAGTTCATGTTGACTGAAGGAGTCAGATCAGCGGTGCCGACCATGAAGTTGTTAATCTTCTCAGCAATCGTGTTGAAGACAAGGCCTGAAGCTTTCCTGGTTGCTGTAGGCGCCTCAGGAAACGAACTTGGAATCAGATCCTTCCAATTGTCCGTCAAGCGACCTTCGACGCGGCGTTTGAAGTCAGCGCCCTCTTCTGGGTACGTGCTCTGGTACTCTTCTACTTTCTTCTCCCACGACTTTACAAGCTCCTCGCCCCTCGCTGGAATGTCTTCGAAGAACTGGCGCACTTCTTCGCTGACAACGAAATGTTCCTCAGGGTTGAAGCCGTAAGCCTTCTTCATGTTCGCGACATCAGCTGCTCCGAATGCCATACCATGTGCTGTGGCATCGCCTGCGACCGCACTACCAAGCCCAATCACTGTCCGCACGTTGATGAATGTGGGCTTCTCGGTGGATGATCGCGCTTTGTTCAGAGCTTCGACAAGGCCTTCGATGTCGAAACATCCATCCTCGATGTCGATGATATCCCAACCGCATGCTGCCATCTTGGCATTGACGTCCTCGGTGTTGGTAAGGTCAACAGAGCCGTCGCAGGTAACTTGGTTGTTATCGTAGATGATCGTAAGGTTGTTGAGCTTCAGATGGCCAGCAAAAGAGATCGCTTCCAGAGCAACACCTTCCTGCAGACATGCATCGCCGATCATACACCATGTGTGATTCGACACAACGTCGAAATCCGGTTTGTTGTAGATCGCCTGGAGATTCTTCGTGGCCATCGCCAGTCCGACCGCATTGGCTACACCCTGTCCTAATGGGCCAGTCGTCACCTCGATACCTTCATGTTCGATCTCGGGATGTCCTGGGCACAGTGCATCGGTGCGTTCTGAGTGGTACGACTTCAACTGGTCGAAGGTCATGGCTTTGTAGCCTGTGAGATGGAGGAATGTGTATTGGAAAAGACAAGTGTGACCATTCGACAGGACGAATCGGTCTCGGTTGAAGTAGTCAGGCGTGTGCGGTGCGTATCGCATGACATATTTCCACAACGCGACACCAATGGCCGCCATACCAATAGCTCCTCTATCGCATTGTCAACTTCACTGTTCCAATCTCTGGTTGTGGAACTTACCCGGGATGCCCGCCATTGAATTGCTGACAAAGATCCGCGATGAGCAGCCTGAACGTCTTCAAGACGTGATCCTGCTCTTTCGATAACTTCTGGACAGACGACTGTTCCAGCTTCGCCTCTTTCTTCAGTCCATCTACGACATTCTTGCCGTAACCGGTCGAGCCGCTGACCTGCGGTGAATCTTGCGAGGTATGCATTATGTGAGGTTGTGCGGAAACTTGCGAGTTGCGAACTTCACAATACAAACATTAGTAGTTCTACAGATCAAACAACACCAGGAGCCGCGTCCTACATAAGTACACCGCGTGCTGTACTGAAAACTAATCTTCGACGTCTATCCAGAACATTTGGCCGGGCATGCCACATTCGGTAATCCGACGCGTCGCCATTGCGGAGGCAAGCTCGGTGTCTTCGATTCCTATTGGACGACAATGCCAAAGGCTAGTCGAACACGGTAACCATAGCCACCAACACACTACGTTGTCAGTCCCGTTGGACGTTTCCCCGCATTTCGCCACGACTGTTGCGCATTCCGGTCTCCAGGTTGAGGGATGGGATTTCCACTTTGGCAAGAATGGCAATTTGGCGCGCTGAACCTGTGGGGCTACTTCATACATCATTGCCCTTCTGTCCTACGTTAACAGCAGTTGCTCTTACTGGCGGTGATCGAATTTCACACCGCGACAAGTAAACATGACCCCAGCACTGGTAGATATGTCTTCCGCTTCCGAGACCGATACACAGAAACCCACTATCAAGACACCGCTGCCAAACCCCTCGCTGCAAGTCACCGCAGACCACAACTTGAAACTGCAAGAAGCGCCTGTGTATGCACCAGCGAAGGGAGAAGTGTTGTTGCATATCAAGGCTACTGGTGTTTGTGGGTAAGACGCTTCAAATCGTGGGCATGTCCGAAGCTGATGACGGTGTGCCAGATCCGACATCCATTTCTGGAAAGCTGGGAGGATAGGCTCACTCGTCGTCGAAGGAAACTGCATCCTCGGCCATGAAGCAGCCGGCATAGTTCTACAATGCGGCGAGGGCGTTACGACTTTGAAGCCTGGTATATTCATCTCCCCATCTTCCTCATCACTAGCTAACGTAGCGTCCAGGTGATCGCGTAGCAGTCGAACCAGGCGTTCCATGCGGCACATGCTTCCTCTGCATGGACGGCCGCTACAATCTCTGTGAAGACGTCCAATTCGCCGGCGTCTACCCCTACCACGGCACAATCCAACGCTACAAAACGCATCCCGCGAAATGGTGTCACGAACTCCCCTTCAGCGTATCCTACGCCGAAGGCGCACTTCTCGAGCCACTCTCCGTCGTCATGCACGGCATCAAGTCCGCCGGTCTGTCTCTAGGACACGGTGCAGTAATCTGTGGCGCAGGTCCCATTGGTCTCATCGCCCTCGCTGCAGCGCGAGCGAGCGGAGCCCATCCCCTCGTTATCACGGATCTTGAGCCTAAGCGCCTTGCGTTCGCAAAGCAATTCGTACCATCGGCCTTCACATACCAGGTCGACCGCAACCTAGATGCGCAGGGCAACGCCAAGAAGATTAGAGAGTTGTTCGACTTCGAGAACGTGGGCGAGTATGGTGCACCTGAGACTGTGCTAGAGTGCACCGGTGTGGAGAGTAGTGTTGTTACTGCTGCGTACACGGCGAGGAGAGGGGGTACGGTCATGGTGATTGGGGTTGGGAGGGAGATTATGAATAATTTGCCGTTCATGCATTTGAGTCTTGCTGAGGTAGGTGGACTGCACTTCATCATATTCATGTTTGTAATCAGATTGGGGGCTGTGTTTGCTAATGACTGCTGTAGATCGATCTCAAGTTCATCAATCGCTATCGCGATACTTGGCCTTCTGGCCTTCAATGCCTGGCGGGTGGTATCCTTGATCTTAAGCCACTTGTTAGCCACACTTTCCCGTTGGAGAAGGCGCTTGATGCGTTGCATACATGTGGGGATTTGAGCAATGGCAGTATCAAGGTGCAGATTATTGACGAGGTAGATGATGTGTTGTAGAATGTTTAGCTCGGCTAATCAATGACGGAAACGTTCGATCTGAAAGCCGGCTTGTTGATGCTAGCAATTCCCTCCGATGGGATAGATGGCTCCTTCCCCGCGCGCCCAACATGCAGCTTGATTATGCTTGGTGTATCTTTGATTCTATCAGCCCGAGATGGCTGGTCGGACGTATGAAGAATTGGATGAGATGTTTGTCAGTCGAGTCACGGCGAGGATATTTGGAACGTACAGTACGGATGCGCAAGCTATGGGTCAGGCGATGGGGGAAGAGGAAGACGCATAGATTGCTGAGGTAAAATGACAAAGCAGCAAATCGCAATGCTGCTTGAACAGCAAGCTCAATACCTGTATAGAGGAGACGACATATCCCGCCAGACTTGCTTCCCGACCGACCGTACTTGACTCTTCGCATACATAGGCGATCAGACACACCTGAAGACATGCCATCTGACTGTACAGGTCTAGCTGATCTATTGACGCGCTTCACACCAGTCCAGGACAGCGTGTTGCGCCATCTCGACATCGGGGATATCATCGCACTCTCGCGCACCACAAAGGCGTTCCGTGAGTATGTGCGCCTGGTCGCGCGGACACAGTTTAACATCAACGAAAAGCTGAAGGTGTTTGTGAAAAGTCCGAACGCGTTTCGCTCGCTGCAGGCGAAGCACAACATCCTCATCAGCGGATCTTTTGCGTTCGGCTTCATGCTGAGAATACCGCTCAACTTCCGCTTGTTTGGTATCCCTACGACTATGCTGGACAGGCTCTTAGTGGAGAGAGGCCCACATGCCGAGGCCCTGAGATCGTTTCTCGAAAATGAGGGTTACAGGGTCAAGGACAGCTCCATCCCAAACGTAGGTGCTCTGTTGTCGCATCGAAGAGCTTTTGCCGTCTTTGAAGTAGCTGACCACAGGCTTAGCACCCATTCATGGAACGTGATACCGTCAAGGGCTGTCAAACCGTCTACATTCGAGAGACGGAATATACTCCTCTCTTCGTGATATTAAACTCGGTCTTAACTTGCGACGTCAACTTCATTACCTGGAATAAAGCATACTCTCTGTTTCCATACCACACTTTCATTCTGAAGCAAGGTCACCTACTTATGGAAATCAAGCATTGGGAACATCTTCCACAGGAACTGGCCAAATGGATGCGTGTTGGGATTGACATCGCCCCTTGTAGTCTTCCGGATGCGCTTCTCCCACACGCGAAGACTGACTCTACGTCTACATTGCTAGGAAACCGCTTGGTCGGTGATAAAAGATCCTGGGTAGTATCGCTAAACACTGACCTCGTCGAGCCGTCGCCCTTCCCCGACCTTCTCATCGACTATGCTGGCTTCGAGGTGACTAGTTCATTGAAGGACGAAGCCGAGACTCTGCTAGATCCCTTATCTCCTCCGTTCAACCATTACACCATTGAGATGACGGTCGTCGAGAGCTTTGCATTACGCCATCAGTACATCTTCGCCGACAAAGCTTACCCAGAGCAACACCGTTTTCGAGATCGTACAATCGTACAACTTTACGCCCTGAACGTTGCAAGGCGACCATCGGGATTTGCACAGATCTTAGCTCAAACCAACCGTCCAAATCTACGTGCCATCGCAGGGTTTGTGCCACCAGAGAGCTGGAAGTATTACGATGATGAGATGCTCAAATTCTTAGAGGCGAGGTATCCGGAGCTGTCTTCGCAAGTCGAAGATTGACATGGAGGTAAACCAGGATAATATATGTCAGCATTGATCCACGCTACATAGCTACGAATTCGTTACATCCAGAGCAACAAATCACCCTAAGCCCTATCCCACCTCTCCATCCCCTCCTTCTTCATAGTCTCGTACCAAGCCCTCACATACTCCAAACCAGCATGCGGACCATAAATTCTCTTCTCCCACTGCGGCACCGGTGCCTTGAGTCCCGTCTCCTCCTCACACTTGCGCATCAGCTCGCTCAGAGTGCCACCGCGGTCAATCGTATTGTCGGTGCTATAGACGCCCTCTTTGGCACGCGCCTCGCGTTTTTTACTGCGGAGAGTAGATGTAGCGAATTTATCGAACGTGAAGTTGTGCGGGTCGACGACGACACCGTAGTTCTCTGCGGCACCTTCGGGGGTGACGAGACGGCGGTGGACTTCTTGTGCTACGCGTTCGGGTGGGCGGGTCAAAGGGTCTCCGAGGCCGCCGCCACCCCAGGTTATCCATTCTAGTACGTCGCCTGGGGGTGTTAGTTTTGTAGTCTACGCACGCGAACGATGATTGCGACTTACCTGGGTAGACATGTATGAAATCCTGCTTCGATTGACAGAACTCCATGTTTTCCTTCTCGGCTGGTGTACCATAGCTGTTGTTTCGGTAGACAATCTTTCTCGACCTGCTTCCAGGCTTTCCGCCGTTGACTCCCCAGGCCTTGGTCAACCATCGGTCGTCGTGCGTGCTGACGTCGCCTTCGCATAGCCATCTGTACAAAGTTCTCTGTGCATTACCACCACGGTAGAAACCAGCGCCACCAGAATCTGGCAATGCCTCGTTGGCTTCGATGATGACGGGATAGTAGAGCTCGATGTTTTCAGCTGGGATGGACTTGATAGCTGGGAAGAGACAGTGGCAGTCCGGCCCATCACCGATTGGTCGCGCAGGCACGCCACCGAAACCGATTTGGTAGAGCAAGTAGAACTCTCCGTCGGGCTTGAACCCGGAGTAGAAGAGGTGGGGTGAGTCGGAGAAACCTGCTGCGCAACGGTAGGCGGGGTTCTGTTGTCCGAAGAGTGCTTGCAAAACGTCCATGATGCGACCGAGGAGATGAGTGCGGCAACTGACGGCTGCTGGACGCACGGGACGGAGGATGGTACCAGCCGGGATCTTGATGTCTAGCAACTCATGGAATCCATCGTTCACCACCTACCAGAATTAGTTACGTTTCGTGATAACCTGGCGCATGATTTACTTACAGCATACGGATCGTAGATAGCGAGCAAATGATAACCGATGAACATCTTGAACAACGTGATAGACAGATAAAAGTTCATCGAGCTGTTTGACTGCGGTGACGTGCCATCCCAATCGAAAATAAGCTTCCCGTTCTCCTTCTTCATGGAACAAGTGATGGCATACGGACCAACTCCTTGACCATCATCGTCGATGAAATCGGTGAAGCTTGACACCTCATCGCTGATCTTATCATTGATGATCCTGCTGATGGCAAGCTTGTTCTGCTCCAGTAGGTAGTCCGCAGCTGCCTCGTATACCTCCAGACTGTAGCGCCCACATAGTTCGGTGACACGCGTAGCAGCTGTGCGGCAAGCGGTAACGAGCGCCATGAGGTCACTTTGAAACCAGTCTGGTGCACGGGAATTACGGAATAGTACGGTCGCAAGAGTCTCGTTGTACACGCCTTTCGTGTAGAGCTTGACAATAGGTATCTGAACCCCGTCCTCGAATATGGTGCTTGCGTTGATACTCATGGAGCCTGGTACTTTTCCTTGCACATCGGTTATGTGACCGAAATTTGCGGCCCATCCTATGAGGCTGTGCTCGTAGTAAATAGGAAGTATTACGATGACGTCGTTGAGATGCGATACGGCGCCATCAGTCTGGTATACATCGTTCGTGACAAACACATCGCCTTCTTCGATTGTGCCGTTCCAGCCGTCGAGAAACTGCTGTATGAAAGACCCAAACTGACCGACTAGCATCTGGCCACGTGTGTTGGTGATAACGTTGAACTCATCTTGCTGTTCTCGGATTGCTGGGCTCATGGCGCAACGAAGTAGAAGAGCATCCATCTCTCGTCTGATAGATCCCAGTGCAGAGGCAATGAGCGTAGCGATGATTGGCTGCTCTTTGATCAGTGCTTGAGCTGTCTCTTTGCTGTGCACGTCCTTTCCATGGTCCTTCTTCTCGGTAGGCCAGATGAGTATGTTACCCATGGAGTCGATCTTTCCGTAAAATCCAGGAAGAATGAGAGTGTTCGAGTCCATCTCAGTAACAACCGCTGGGCCAGGTATGATTTTGCCAGCTCCCCCGATCTTGGACCGATCCCAGAAAGTTGCCTCGACTTTCTTCCCATCCCAGACAATGACCTGCTTAGCTGTGATGGCATCTTCGCAAGGTTCAGAAGTACTGGCATCCTCCAGAGGCTTGAAAGCAACCTCTTCGGAAGCGTCAATGACTTTTGCACGCAAGCGCATTGTCTCCATCTCAGCATTCGCGTGTGAAAAACCAAACTGATGTTGGTGGGCCTCGTTGAATTTGGAACGGAAGATATCCACAAGCTTATCTGAGTTGTCAAACTCATCAGAACTCAGATCAACAGTGAGCGTCATAGCCTGACCCTTGTAGCGCATATCTGCTTGGTATACGACATGGAGAGAAGCGTTCTCGTCTGCAAGCGAAGTCTTCATTGTCTTCACACCGCCGGCCTTGAGATCGAGTAATATTTCCTTGAGTTCTTCCTCGGTTATCTCGGAGAATGCGCGAATGTATGTGCAACTCTGCTCATGCGACATCTTCGTGATAGCATCACCTTGAGCACATAGCACACCGGGAGAAGGAGGGACGATAACAGGCCAGGAACCAAGAAGTTGACCAAGGGCATTGCCATGAAGTGGACCCGCACCACCGAGAGCGACCAATGCAAAGTCGCGTGGATCGTAGCCTTGCTCGACAGATACCAGCCGCAGAGCACCGTGCATGGATTCGTTTACCAGGTCGATAATGCCCTCAGCTGCGGAAGCTGTATCAAGATCCATTTGCTTAGCGATCGATTCGACTGCAGCTGTAGATGCGGCGACATCCAATTGGAACTTTCCACCGAGCAGTTTCGATGGAAGGCGACCTAACGCCAAGTTTGCGTCGGTCACAGTCGCTTGGGTACCACCTTTTCCGTAAGCTGCAGGACCAGGTGTAGCGCCGCTAGACTCGGGTCCAACACGTAGAGTCTTCGTGAAGTCATTGAAGATTGCGATAGAGCCACCGCCGGCTCCTACAGTATTAACATCTACGCTGGGTGCTCGAACTGACAGGTGACCGATCGCGGTCTCTCGTCGGATGATGGCATCGCTTCCCGGAAGTAGAGCGCAGTCAGTGGAAGTTCCGCCCATGTCGAATGTAATGAGGTTCTTGTAGGGCGTGCTCTTCGCGACGAGATGAGAAACAGCCTTGACGCCACCAGCTGGCCCACTCATGAGGATGCGCACCGGTGTCTCGCCAGCAAGTTGGGTTGAAGTCAGGTCACCATCGGATTTCAAGATGCGGATCGTGTCTGTGTCTTTCTCGAGCTTCTTTTGTAGGTTCTGCATATAACTCTTTACCACCGGTTTGACGATGGCGTTGGCGGCTGTCGTAACGGTACGCTCGTACTCTTGGATCTCTGGCAGTACATCTGTAGAAGTGACGATCTCGACATCTGGCCCAAACTCGCTGCTCAATATGGCCCTGATGCGTTCTTCATGGGCGCTGTTCGCGAAGGAATTGATCAGCGATACGGCGATTGCTTGTGGCTGTTGTCTCTTCAGATCTTGCAAGTCCTTTCGTAATTCATCCTCATCCAACTCGTAGAAGACTTCACCGTCAATCTTGATACGCTCTTTGACTTCTACAGTCCTCTCGAGAGGCACGAGAGGATCGGGCTGTTCGTAGTGCATCCATGAGCCTAATCCGCCTGGTATCTGGCTTCGCCGTGTGGATAGTATGTCCTTGTGACCCTTGGTGACGATGAGACCGCATTTGGCGCCTTTGCCTTCAAGCACCGCATTGGTACCTGTGGTTGTGCCATGGTGTATGTACTCAAACCTGCCGTCCCAGTTGTACTTCTCCTTCAGGATTTTGCGTGCCTGTTGCACTCCGTCTTGCACACCAATAGACTGATCTGTCGTGTTGGTCGGCACTTTTGTGCGTACCGCTTCGCCGTTCGGGGTAATGACGCAGACTAGACTCGATTAAGAGGTGAAGCATACTCTGTGGAAAAGGGCCGTACCGTCGGTGAAGGTTCTAGGATCGTGTTAGCCGCGCTCCTTGACGTGGGCCGTGTTCAGACAAGGCGCGAGGTACTGGCAGCTGTGGATTCGGGGAAGTTCTGCATGTTCGCCGCCGGTGCCAGGAAGAAGCTAGCGGGTGGGCGTCCAGGCCTCCCACCGGTCCATGAGGCAAAATTGAGGCGATCATTACTTACCCTCCAACATCAACGCCGAGTCTGTAACCAGGCGTAGCCATGGTGTCGTATCCAAATCGCGGTTCAGCGATGAGGTTGAGTCTATCCCAGTCTTACAAAGAGGACTGGATGATGGGTTACCGGATGGCCCTGCGTCATGCTATAACCATGCTTTTTTGGAGCTGCTGCTAATGCGCCGAGGCCGCGCCGAGCATTGTCAAATACAAAGCGTTCGTGCTATCAGAGGCTCCATTGCCGCTGTCAGACACTGCGCCCTGCCCATAGTGGCAGTCACCATTGCGCTTGGGGAAGGCGTCTAAAGGATGCCGCAATTACGGCACTGGCGATGATTGGAATGTTGAGGATGATCGGTGTTAGCTATCGTTTGGATGCGGGGTCGGTGAGAGCTAATTGCAGTCGTGTTATCTTGGACTATCTGCCTCTGCCTCGGTGCTGCAGAAGCTGCCGTTATCACCGAATGATGCTTGACGCGAAAAGTGGACGGGGATGCTCGGCGCGTAGACCGGGGGCGACGCGTTTCGCTTAGGTGCTTCCGACAAGGTCGCAAAGCGTCACACTCCTCCTCATATACATCATCACGATTTCTATTCATCAGCAATGGCGCTCGATAGCGCGGAGAGAACTACTGACGCCGTGCGCACACACGCGGAGCCTAGACGCGATGCTCTTCTTACGCCAATGAGATCCGACTGTCATACTTGATGACGTCAAACATCGCTCTTTCTACTGCTATTCAGGACAAAGAGCTTTGGCAAACCACGACGACGCACCATGTCAAAGATGCCTTTGTTTGACTTCGACCATCTCCTTTATACGAGAAATCAGCTGTACACCGATCTAGGAGCACTTTCCGCAGGATGTCTTCAATATGGGAGCAGTCGACCATAGTAAACTGCTACGACGATCCTTAACGTCAGCAGAAATTTCAGTGTAGAATAATGAATATGGCTTCAGTTCTCCGGTATCAGTTCTTACAGACCCTTTCTGACGAAAGCGATGATGACAAACGAGTAATTATACGTTTGTACATCGCGCTAGATCAGACCAACACCATACGCGACGTAAGTCACGAGATTCATTCTTCCGTCGCCGATACGTACTAACAACGATCTAGCGCTTTGTGATCAAAAAGGTCACGACGGATGACAGAGCCATCTTCAACGAGCGACAGGCAGTTTGCCGGATCATCGACACCCTTCCCAATTCCGGCGCAATACTGAAACATAGATTCTGGTCGTGTCATGACCATGGCGAGCATATCGGTCCCACTTCCAGACACAGGTACGAGGTGAAAAGATATATGGACTATTGCTCTGCAGGCACACTATCCAACATTATCGAAGAATACAGTGCGGAAAAATGGCGTCAGGATACCGACGACCAGATTCCTGAACCCATGTTTTGGATCACTCTCATCACAATCTCGGAAGCAATCTACAACCTCACAACCGGATTGACGTACACGCCGGGTATGGACGATGCAGCAGAAGCCTTTGGGTGGATACCAAAAGTGCATCGCGACATCAAGCCCAGCAACATCTTCCTCATGGAGCCTCAAGAACCCTTCGCTTCTTTCCCGCGGCCTGTGCTAGCAGACCTCGACGACATGCTCGAGCTCTTCGGATATGAGGAGTATACCAAGAAGTACCACTTGTTCACGCGAGGCTACGCTGCACCCGAGAACAATATCGAGCTGCACACTCTAGACCCCGACTGCCGAGGCTTCGGCTACTTCCAAAGGCAGCCGCTCTCCTGCAAAACAGACATCTGGTCTCTGGGCACCGTACTCTGGGAGATGATGCACAGTTTTCTCGGCCCCCACAAGGCTCAAGGCCTTTGGCACGGGGCTATCACCAATACTATACATTCAGATCCATCTCAAAGTCGCTTTTTGAAACATACTATTCCCGTGCTGGCGCCTACGATGAATGAGCCGAACTACACGAGGGATTTGATCCGGACATTTGAACTGTGTAATCAGAGTATGCCTGCGAGAAGGCCGACGGCGTTAGGTCTTAGGAGGTTGGTAGAGAGGAAGACGAGAAGGGCGCAGAAGTGCCTGGGAAGCTTCGAAGGAGATGCAGACGAGAGGATGCGGGTTAGGTATAGGAAGGAAGAGTTCGGCATGAGGCCCAATACTGAGCTTAAGAAGAGGCGACGTGGTCATTGGGTGTGAATTCATAGCTCATCTAATCATACATAACACCGTATCATCCCGGCGCTCCATCAGTTCCCGTTTACTTTGCAGCCATCATCTCCAAGAACTTGTCTCCCAGCGCATTCGCCGCCATCGGGTTGTCGCCGGTAACAAGCTCCCTATCCACAGTGATACTCCCCATAGACTTGGCAAGACCCTCCTGCATATCCGCTCCCTCTTCCCTCAGCGTGCCCTCAACCTTGTCAATCTCACCCCGGAAGATCGTCTCCATCAACTTCTCCTCAGCATCCGACCAGCTCGTCATCTTGTAGCCAGCGTACTCAAACTTCTTGCTCGGACCGTATTTGGTCGAAAGGAAGGCCCAGGGTCCGTGGCAGATAGCAGCTGTTGGCTTCGACGAGGTGTGGAAGTGTGTGAGTATGCGACCGAGGTCCGCGTTGTCGCCCAAGTCTGACAGAGGAGCGTGACCACCGGGGATGAAGACACCGCCATAGTTCTTCAGTTCCTCGTCGCTGATCTCGGAAAACTTCCTTGGTCGCGAGAAGCCATTCTCTTTCTTCATGCGCTCGATCAAGTCGAGCTCTCTTTGCTTCTCGTAGTAGTTCCCGGCGAAGGCTGCGAGAGACACGCTGAGTGGGTCTGGTGTGGGCTCCTTGCCCTCTGGTGAGGCGAATGTGACTTCGTAGCCGGCGTCGAGGATCTTTTGGAGAGGCTTCGCTAGCTCCATGAGGAAGTAGCCTGAGTCTTGAGATACGGTCTTTCCATCACTTCCGGTGTTGTATAGGGGGAAGGAGGACGCGTCGGAGAGCACGATTAGGACTTTCTTGCTTGCCGCCATGATGGTTGATTTGGGGTTGTATGTGTAGGTTGATGGGAATTAGTTGTTTTTGGTTTTCAAATTTGAGAAGTCAAATGGGTATCAAGCTGTGTTATATAAGAGATGGGAAAGGGCGATATGAGGGGTTGATGTATATGTTTATGGTTTTCGCTGCAAGGTCAGTATGACGTAGGCGCTTTCTGTCCATTAGAAACGTCACACTCACCCACCTCTCCACTTAGGTAGTCGGACGTGTTGCATAAACTTCGATGCTCTGTCTCGGACAACCTCGGCACAACTTTGCGTCATCAGCCTGATGGGCGACCTTGTACGCGAAGAAGACACGTCGCGTCGCGTGTGAAAGCAGTTCGTTGCATGACTCGTCCCGCATCGCGAGATGACTCGCTTGTGCCATCCATCTCAATTCCTCAACCCATCCAAACATACACGACGAGCGTACGCAACTGCAAGAGAAGGAGATGCATTTGGCCAGGCTGCAGAAAAACGCATGTAAAGGTGTCCTGGAGACGTAAAAAAGCACACTGGGCCGTGCCACGAGGATTCAGCAGCAACACACATGTGTCCACAGCGCAAGAATCGCAGTCCTGGACGCCTGAAAGTCGTGCAAGAGCCTTGTTGAGGCCGTCGCATTCAGGCAGCAGTAAAAACACCAAGAAGACAACATAACAACATCACGCATAGCTTGAATCATCCTGTAGCAAAACAGATGTTATATCAGGCGGACTCCAGCTAAATGATGCATCGATACTCAACGCTACTGACATTGCCACTCACCATCCTGCACATCAGCTACTATGCGCCTCTACACTCACGTATTCTTTCTTTTTTCCATCTTGTCAACTACCCTGGCGCTGTGGGATTCAAAAGACCCGTGTCCCACTTCCATCGAAGCAAAAATTGAGGCTGACTCTTCCCGGTCCCTCGACGACCGCTACCCAAACGACGTCACACCCTTCACGACCTGGGACTCCGTCCACTCAGCCCTCCTTACCTGCCCTAACATATCCACCCTCGACATCGGTGTCTACAGGTCCTGCAGTACATGGCCCGACCGGATGAACCTACCGCTCAGCCCTTTCGGCGGTGAAAAGTATCCCGATATCAAATCTTTGAAGGTTGAAGGCTATCAGTGGGAGACATGGCAGCATGAGGAAATTTGGAAAGGGCCGAAGTGTCTAGCGCCAGGCAAGCTGGAATGTTTCATGGACACATTGTATTGGGTCTACAAAGGCCATTGGATAAGCTGGCTTGGATGGCGCACTCAATCGAAAGAGCAGTGCGAGAAGACCAACGCGGAGCTTTGGCTTGACGCAATGAACTGGACGCGTATCGAGGAGCTTTCTGTGGACACCGTCCCGGAAAGCGTGCGGAAGGTTCTCTCGCAGTCGCGAGCGTTGCGCTCGCTGAACACGACAGACAGCGAACTCATCCTCGACTTGCCAAAGAATACGCTCACGCACCTGTCTCTTGTCAACGGCGAGCGCGACACCGTCCTCTTCGAAGATATTTTGAACCAGCAGGGCGAATCTTTGGAGAGTCTTGAGATGCGCTGGAATACTGAGCATCATCCATGGAGGTATGACGGCGATCTCGACGACGAGATTCAGATGATAAGAAAGAGCGCAAAGCAAGTCAACCATCTAAGTATAAACATCTTCCGTAACGCTAGCAACTCACCCTTGGAAACGCTGGGAAAGATCGTTTCCATACCCACGCTACGAGAAGCAAACTTCTGGATAGACATACTCGGGCCACGGGAGTGGAGTTACAAAGAGCTCCGCGCCCTCGGAGAACAGCACGCAGAGGCAGAAGGCGGCAGATACCTATTTCTCAACAAAAAAGATGCGCTGAATATCTTCAATTACATGCGAGACAAGAAGCAAGGGCAAGAGCTGGAAAGAGCAACTTTTTGGATTGGTGACTGGACACGGAATTGGCTCTGGGAAACCCCAAGAGCGCATGTAAAATGTGAAGCGAAAGCAGATGTTGATATGGAAGACTGGTGTGTGGTGGATGATCAGTGGCCACACTACCCGATGTTTGTGCTCACTCCACGGGTAGAAGCCCTGGGAATTATGGACACGGATTTCCGATGTGGAACGACATGAGCTCTGAACCTTGAATCTACGTTGGCTTCTCGGTAGATACATGCATATGTTCACGACTTTAGTCGTGACTGACGGTGGGATCCCATGCGCAGGGCTCATACACTCCGGTATCCAGGCTCTTCATCTCTTCGGCTATGAGCTCGAAGTCATAGACTTGGGCGTTCTCCTCGATGCGAGATTTGGTTACGGATTTGGGGAGCGGTATGAATCCCTGTAACAGCAACATCAGTTCATTGCTCCCTAGCAAAGAGTTATTGCATTCATGCTCACCATCTGTATACTCCATCTCAGCAATATCTGCGAAGGCGTCTTGTTGTACTTCTTCGCGAGTGGCTTGAGCAGCGGATCGTCGTTCTTCGTTGCGCGCACGATTGGACTGTATGCTTCGCATAACACACCTCGCTGCTTGCACCAGTCTACGATGTCTGGACGCGCGAGCCATGGATGAAGCTCTACCTGATTGACGCTGAGGACTCCACCTTTGCCCTTGCCCTCTTTTGCCTCCGTCTCTTTGATCCACGCTTCTAGTTCGTCTAGATGATGCACGCCGTAGTTGGAAACGCCAATTGAGCGAATCTTGCCTGCCTGCACACCCTCAACTAGCGCTTTCCACGCACCGATGCGGTTCTCCTTACCGCCGTAGGGACTGTGCAGGAGGTAGAGATCGACGTAATCGAATCCGGTGATCTTGAGGGTGTTTTCAATGTGCTGTTTCGAGTTCTCATAGCTCATGTCTTTCGGAGGGATCTTTGTCGTGAAGAATAGCTCTTCTCTTGGAATGCCCGACTTCTTCATGCCTTCCGCAGATGGTTGCTCGTTCCGGTAGGCGACGGCAGAATCAACGTGGCGATAGCCGACTTTGAGCGCGTGCTCAACCACCTCGGAAGCGATGTCTGCTGGTGTTTGGTAAACGCCATATCCAAGGACGGGGATCTTGTAGCCTGATGGCATGGTCTGTTGCGAGTTGATGGTGAGCCCTGCCATCATTGCTGATGACGTATGGAAGGACCGAGGTGATCTGGGAAGGGGCAATTGAGAACGTAGATTTGACAATCTTGTGAGGGCAGCAGTACGCATAGTACCTTCGCAACGGAATGAATGGAAATAGTTATATATCTTGAGCGGCTGTTGCCTCAAGGACGGGATGATACCTGTAGGAGTATACTCCGGCGAATCTGGAAATAACGGACATAAAGCGCCAAGGCCGAAGACTAAAGACGCGTCATTAGCAAGATCACCTACATAGCTACACCGTATAGCGAGACCAAACTTTATCATCGTCTGTCCATCGCACTTTGGAGATACTTCATCGTCACCGCTTCTCTTTGGGCCCTTTTACTACCAACTTAACCTCAACAGCGCGTGCGCCTCTTACCACGCGATTCGTCCCAAAACGGCAATATTAATATCAATTCGCAGCCACCACTTAAGGGCATATGACGCAGCAAACGACCCAATGTAGCAGCACATAATTAGGCAAATTGCCGCTCTTTGCTGTCACTCTGCAACTATTTACCCAGCGATCACCGCCGTTATTGACGCCTCTTACGCTCAACACATATATGCGAAGCAAGGCAGGCATCGAGCTCCCAGCTCTCATGCGAACCCCAGGCGGCTTCGCGGGCCTCAGCTGCACGGGATCCGAGATGACGGGTCCTTTGTCAGCGCTAGAAGGGCCGAAGAAGATCTGGAGAAGACGCTGCAGACTGGCGAAAGCTGGTGGGGCGAACGCACGCGAATAGGCGCCTGACACTATGGATAATTACAATACCACGTTGCGCATGCGAGCCCACGGACCTGAAACGTCCCGACCCCCCTCCTTTTTGGACCTCTGGGTCGCGTAAAGAGTATGTGCTTTCTGCAAGAGGATAGCAGGTTGCAGGCCTAACTCGTTCCTCCGACACACCGATGGACTGGCCCTTGGTTCAGCACCCCGGCAGCGTCTCAGGAGTCGGTTTACGTTTCTCAACTCCACGGAGTGTAGCACGACAGCTTTCCAACATTAGCCGAAGAGTTTTGTACGACTGATTTTCGATGGATGCCGATCGCATTATCGGAATAGAGATCGATCTTTGCCGTAGCCTTGAAGCTTGTCCGACCATGAGCTCGTGAACGAGTGGTTCGGCAGCCTGTAGTACCACCGGTGAGCCGCGAAGGGATGCACGCTGACACGACACGCACGTGCAGGGTGACTTCATAGGGTCTAGCATCTGGCCGCTTCTGTGCCACCTCTAGAAACCCATGCGATGCGGCTAAAACAAGTGCAGTTCAACAATATTTGCCATTATCGACTGACTCTGTCTTCTGGGTCGTAGGGACGGGAAACACTTCGCTTCCACTCCTTTGCTAATGTGGGGCGTAGATCATGAAACACTAACCCGGTCGAGTCGTCAACTGCAGCTCCTCTGTCATTGTCACATTGCTTGCCCTTCCGTCTACCTCACGACCCAGTCAAACCGTTTCCTGATCTGTTTCAACCCCTCGACGCAAACCTCAACCGTCGCTCAATGCGTCATCTTTAGCTACAGGGATCGTTTTCCACTGACTCTGGTCGTTGTCTTATCGCGTGCTCGGCAATGCGGAGGAGATCCCGAAGATTCGAACAATGTCACCTACCCCGAGTGTACTAGTCCGCATCCTGCGTCTGAGTCTCGCCGCTATTGGCACTCATGCTCGGAAGGAGAACGTGGAAGACTGTCCACCCGTCAGCGGTCAACGACTAGCCAAGTAGAATGGCGGTAGGTTCCGATCGCTGCGTGATGCGCGACGACGCAGGAACGTGGGGGTATACAGCACACGCGGACGACGAAGCTTACTACTGGCCACAGCGCGTTGTCGGAGGCTTAGTCTAAGATGATAAGCAGCCTATTAAGACTTCTAGAAGAAGTCTATCAACTAAATCCTGACTCTTACCACCACTTCCATTGGCAGTTCTACGCGAAAGGCCGCTACCAGCCGTTTTTCAACTCGAGCGTAGGGCCGTTCGGGCCGCTGGCGACGTCGAGGAGAAGTAAGCTGCGTACATGCGCAACGAACCGGTCTTCATCGCGGTCCGCGACTGCCTTGGCGAGCGGATGTAAGCTGACTAGGGCTTGTGACGTGAAAGCTCCCTCCTTCCGAGCAAGCCACGGGCGATCACCAAGCAAATCGTTCGTCGCCATCCACCAGATTTCGAAACGCGCTGACCAGTCATAGCCACCAGATGCATGATATTACACCGCGCGGTCCATCAGCATCGTCCTGATTCTACTTCTACCCGTGCTCGTGCTGGATCTGGTAGATGTGTGGTACACGTCAGACCGTATTCGAAGCCATTGTCGATGCGTCGATTGAAACTGCCGCGAAAGTCTCGGTGGCATCATGCATGGAGCTCGAGCTTCTGACAGCAGTGCTTACACTCAGTACGTAGACGTCGTCCACCTGTTACATCTACAGTGCGTATAGGAGAGCACTCGGCGCAAAGGATGTCGCAGCACTGAAGGATATAGACAGTGTGACGAGAGTTCTTGTCGTGCATACCGGCGCCACCCGTGCCGTTTGAAGAGCGACTGACAGCTTAAGGGGAACTCAGGATTGCGGGGCCCTTGATTGACAGATACAAGGCCACGGCACGCAGGAGCCGGTGTTCCTGCTCAGATCCCCACATAGTGTGGAGATGTGATACTATCATCCTCTATACGCCTGTGGTAGTCCATCAGCCGGGGGTTGATACGGCCGAGCTCCTGTTCTCCGCAACATCAGCATGAGCTCAGTGCTCGATGCCAATATCAGAATCTACCCACATACGCAAGTCGGCACAGCGTTATGTAAGGACCGTTCATCTTGCTGATCTCCTTGGTCTACGCCCCAGGAGACCGCATGGCACCCGTGCCTTCCAATCGCACTGGCTAAATCAGTCTGTCAGTGCTTGGTGCATCTGCCGAAGAATGGTCTCGACCGGACATCACTAAGAATGTGAAACTACCTCAGTAAGATAGTGGCAGACGCAGGGGATGATGACGAGGATAGGCACGGTGTGCGTAGCTGAGACCCCCTAGCATACTCGCGCTATGAGCCCATGCATACTACAACAGTGGCATGTAGGTAGGTTGTTACGTGCTCGCGTGGAGAAGGGACTGTACCACGTAGCTTACACATAGGGCTGACTATGCTGACCAGTCACGAGCCTGGAATGGAGGTATACGAGGGATGCTGGCGTCGATCACGCCTTCTCACTACTAACATTTCTTACACAAGCACCGATATAGTCGGAAAAGTCGGAGGTAGGAGGCACACGACCCATGCGTACCGTCATAGCTAAGCAAATAGCGCAGCCACAGCGATGATGCATCTTACCCAGGCGACAGAACAGAATGCGCAGTGCTATACGTAACAGACCCGAATGCGTGACCTGCATCATCAAGGCAGACTACGCGCGCATTGGCATTCATCGCGAAAGCACGTCATGTCCCCGTGCCCTTTGACAGGATTCACACGAAGGAACGCACAATGTAACAGTGTCCATCGCTTCTCCATAGCGGGCAGGGCACCAAGACACGAAAGGCCCGATTGCGGCGCCGCACCCATCTCCAAACCGTCTGCGCGAAGGTACGGCACCACCACCACCGTGCCGCCCTCAAGACACGCGAGCCGCGCGGGTGAAAGCCCAAGCCCCAAACCTCTGCCGCAAAAAACGGTTGTCTCGTGTCCACTAACCACATGAGCAGCCGCGATAAAAAATAAATAGAGCCTTGTCAAGTCATAAGCGAACCTGTCACAGCGCTTTCTATTAAGACATCTGAAACCAGTGCGCCAAAAATCGATACAATCGTGATTGCGGCACGACTGTACTGTATTGCGGCGCAGTTCGGCACAGGTGGGTGTGGTGAACGGAGATGGGTGCCCCGTTGAAGAAGGAGCGAGGGACCAGAACAAAAACGAGGGCCCCACAAGGCGGCATAAGGTTAGTTAGGGCGGTGCGAAAGCGCATGCGCGAGCGACAGAAGGGGAAAATGAAGAAGGGTTTAACGGTTTTGGGAGCGAGATACGCGATCTCGTTTTGTCTCATTCCACGTGTAGATGCAGACGCGCGCTGTCTTTGAAGCTTGCAACAACCGAAAAGACGCGCAGCAGGGATATGTGATGTGCGCGTGTTGCAGATGGGGAAGCAGAAGAAGGGGGCCGCGCAGATGGCCTGTGAGATCTAGCTGCGACTCAACAACAGGAAAGGAGATGAAGATGATCGTTATATGTATTTGAAATAAGATAACTCAACAAATGTAGTTAGTTAAGCAAGGGTATCGAGCGAAAGAAGAAGATAAATGACATAAAAGGCGAACGTTAAGAAGGCGTTGCGCGCTCGTTGCTGCTTGCTGTGCCCCATAGAACTCCCTGACCCAAGCCATGCAAGCCGCCTGTTTTTTTTTCTCTCGCTTTGCTAAACGCCGGTGTGTCTGTGCCGCATCGCGGGAAGCGTTTAGACTTAGACATGTTGCCCCGATGGGACAATCCCTAGGAGTGGAAGAATCAGAAAGGAAGAGCGATGCGGCGTGGTTTACCCGCATCCTCCTGCCGTAATAAGCGAGGCTGACACTGGCGAGGTTGACTAGGTGGTATGGTGCTGGTGCAGGAAGGGAGGGAAGTTCATGGGCGTGGGCTCGATGGGGCTCATTGCGTAGGGTGCAAAGCCTTGCTGGACGTGCTGGACGTGGTGATCGAACTGCGTGTAGGGTATGGGTGTTGGATCGATCTCTTGCCATTTGCGAGAGCATTGGCGTGCGGTCCATTTTTCTTCTGCGCCGTAATCGAGCATCTATAGCAGTCAGTGGCTGTACTTGGAATCGATGGTGGTGTTACATACCTTTTGCGCGATGATGTCGAACTTGTTTTGCACCCAGTAGTCATGGGCCTTGCGCAGTGCTTGCACGTCTACTTCAGTCCACTGACGCATCCGTTCTTTTAGTCGCTTGATACGCATCTGCAGTGCGGGTATTTGGTACTGCCTGCCG